ATATTATAGATATTATAGATATTTTCATAATATTAGATAGATAGATAGATAAAATATTACATTTAATATATTAACAGAAAACAGTTATTTTTAATTGTAATGATAATTCACAATATTACTGATCAGAAATACAGCAAAAATCATTTAAAAATATATAGTAATATTTCACAATATTGCTTATAAAATAAATATAGAAATATAAATAATAATTATTATTGTTATTATGGCATGAAGCATATGCATAAAATGTATTGTTTATATTATTTGGTATTATTTAAATTTTAATATTATTATCAATATTAATAATAATAATAATTGTATTATTATCATTATTATTATGGCAACTATACCCAATTACACTAATTATAATCATTACAACAATAAAAAGGAAAGAAACGGAAGCTCTTTCCGTTTGATGGTGCAATGTGTCCAGCATTTGGTTATAGTACACTCTAAAAAATGCTGGGTTAAATGCAACCCAGTGCTGGGTAAAATAGGGACAAACCCAGCAATTGGGTTGTTTTGACCCAGCGTTTGGGTTACTACCCAGAAGGTTGGGTTAAACATTTAACCCAACCGCTGGGCCAAAACAACCCAATTGCTGGGTTTGTCCCTATTTTACCCAGCACTGGGTTGTATTTAACCCAGCATTTTTTAGAGTGTATATCAGTTCAAATCTACTGGTTTGTTGATTCTAGCTGAGAAATGTCAGTCAGCTCAGCAGTGGCATGGTTTGATTTTGTGTTGAGAGCACCATTTTTAATGAGACAGATGTTCTTTACAACAACGAACCTCCAAGCTTACGCAGTAATTTATCTCCTTCCATCATGAATGCTTGTAGTGTAAATCGGTTCGGAGTGAAGCTAACAGACTGTCAGCTCGTCACATAGATCAGCAGCAGCTGGCAGGTTCATTCTGCTGCTAAAATGAGGTTTGAAGACATTGCTGAGAGTTACTGTGTAATCAACAGACACGTCGCCACCCATTCCACTATTCAGTCACTGTGGATTCGATGCAGGTGAAATTCTTCAAAACATCATTTTCAATCTTATGAGGGCAATTTCAGGTCACAGAAAGAGACTCTGTTGATTCTATTTGATAAACAGTTACATTTTCCTGTTAAACACTGACATGTTTTTAAGGAAAAGAATTTAATTTTTCCCTCTTACCAATGATACAATTCTTTAGATAACATATTGTAACATATCTGAGTAGGTTGCATATCTTTGGCATGGGTAGGGGGATTGAAAGGAATTTGCTGTTACAACATTATGTGGTATATTAAATCTCTGCACTTTAACCACCATTTCAATCCATTATTAGTTTTTACCACTACCTTAATTTCAGGAAAACAGGAACATTCAATTAATAAACAGAATTGGCAGATGCAATACTTCCTGTCTTGGCTCGTCAATTCAGCCCATTTTGAACATAACATGGTCTCTTGTTCTGCAGTGATTTACAGACAACGAGGAAAAGACTGCTGCTAAGAATAGACACAGGATCAGTCTATCAAGCACCAGGATGACAGAACAAATTTAGACCATATATTGCGGCCTTGCACAATGTCTGAGACTAGAGCAATGAATCTTGATGATGCCAAAACCAGACAAAGGACTTCTCCAAGCTTTTTTTCCATTAACAATTTATTGTTTTATTTGTGTCATATACTGTATCATATAAAAAAGTAATTGTTTCAGAATCGTTAATGAAATCTGTGTCATGTATTTCATGCACAAAAAATTACATATTTTTTAAAATTACATTATAATAAATAAGCATGCAGAAATAAATGCTTAACACTTATTGTAACATATTAACAAAGACGTCCGATTTTTTAACTGTTTATTAATAATAATTGCTAATTGTGACATTTAAATAAAAGGTTATATTGAATGACTGTTTTGGATAATATCCACAATTCAATACTGCCCTCTTGTGTAATTTTGAGGTGTTTGCTTCTTGTTTACATTGACCTGAATTTTACATAGCAATAGGACTTCGACTCCCAAAATGCAACAGGGTTTCAGGAAAGGGCGGGGCTTCTGCTTTCAGCTGCATTGTGGGAGCGGGAAAACGCCACAAATAGTCACGTTGCTCAACTGTGGGGTTTTCTACAAAGCTGTCGTTACAAGGTACTGTAATGTTTTATGACACAAACCTATTATTTGTAGTTTGTTGCTTTGTATATGAAGTATACGGTCCTGTTGGATCTGTTCGATGCTTTAGCGGAACAACGTCCAGACAGTCATTGTTTGCTTGGTTTATTTATTCGACTCGTTTGAGACCAGTTTAGGTATTCATTCTGAATGTGTTAGTTTAGTTATTTAAGTCAGTATAAGCGAACTTTATTAAATTCCAAAACGGAATGGTTTTCATGACGTTCCATTTTTTAGCGTGGATATGCAATATGCACGGAACATGATTCCTGAACGAATGATTCGTATGAGCCGGTTCTTTTTAGTGAATCAAAAGTATTAAGCGTAACCAGTGTAGTCCGATTCCCGAATGAATTGTTTTAATGAGTCGGCTCTTTTTAAGTGACTCAAACACTTAATCAGACTAAACAGTGAATGATTCTCTCTGCTCTAGTTGGTACTTTAATCATGTACGATTCTAAACTATCCTAAACTTGGTGTTAAATTTTTTTTCGTCTTCAGAGTAAAACATGTCTATTGGTGTTCCCATCAAAGTCCTGCATGAAGCAGAGGGTCACATCGTGACCTGTGAGACAAACACGGGCGAGGTGTACAGAGGCAAATTGATCGAAGCAGAGGATAACATGAACTGCCAGGTACTGCAGAATCACAATTCATTCTTGATGCGTTCTATCTACATTACCCAAACGCTCACTTTTAAACCTGTATACATTTGCACTGCAGTGAGTCTTAAATAATGAAACCAACTGCACTTGTTTTGTGTGAATTAGATGTCCAACATTACAGTGACCTATCGAGATGGCAGAGTGTCTCAGCTGGAGCAGGTGTACATTCGCGGCAGCAAAATACGCTTCCTCATTCTGCCAGACATGTTGAAAAATGCCCCTATGTTGAAGAGCATGAAAAACAAAAACCAAGGTGCAGGAGCTGGAAGAGGCAAAGCTGCTATTCTCAAAGCTCAAGGTTGGTCAATGCTATCTTTGACTTTACAGTATTACAGTAATATTTATAATATTACTTGCAGTATTACATTACAGTTACTGCAGGTGTACTGTGCTTTTCAGTGGTTGCAATGTCAAATGCTTTTTAGCCATATCAATTATTTATATACTCCCAAATGTGTTTTTGTTTTTACTCCAAAATTTAGTTGGATCGTCTAGTTTATTTTAGTACCATTATCAATTCAAGCGGATGCCTATTGAATATACATTTTATTCAAATATCCAATTCAAGATAAATCAAATTAATTTAAATATCCTCAAAAATCACTGAGCCCTGTTTGTCTTTTTTTTTTTTTTTTTTTTAATCAGGTGGCTGAACGTGTTAATGCTTTTCATGGGAGAAGCACAAGATGAAACCACTAACTGTTTGTCTTTCCTTTGCAGTCGCAGCAAGGGGCAGAGGTCGAGGAGGACCAGGAGGAAGGGGAAATATTTTCCAGAAAAGACGATAATGTGAATCCTGTTTCAATCACGGTGTCATTTTGTACAGTTGGTTTTTTTTTTTTCTTAAATGAGAAATTGTGTGCTTTTTTTTTTGTTTGTTTGGTAAATTTTGGTGATCTTGTAGTTTTGTTGCAACCTTTTTTTTTCACTTTTCTCATGTAATAAAGCTGTTTACTTAAATAAAAGGTCTGTTTTTAGTGCTGCTAAACCAGTCATTCCTTAATTGTATCTCATTCCATTGATTAACAGATAAAAATCTATAAACACCAACACTTCGGTTTATTTTGGTCAGATGAGAGAAAAAGTTGAAGTTGGAAGAAATTAAGACATTTTACTTTTTATTTTTTTTTATTTTTATTTTGGTTATAATTTGGTAAATTTTGGTGATCTTGTAGTTTTGTTGCAACCTTTTTTTTTTCACTTTTCTCATGTAATAAAGCTGTTTACTTAAATAAAAGGTCTGTTTTTAGTGCTGCTAAACCAGTCATTCCTTAATTGTATCTCATTCCATTGATTAACAGATAAAAATCTATAAACACCAACACTTCGGTTTATTTTGGTCAGATGAGAGAAAAAGTTTAAGTTGAGCGAAATTAAGATGTTTTACATGGTTTTTCTTTTTTATATATGTTTTTTACTTTTTCTGTTGTAATTCATTTAGAACCGAGAGGAGTGGAAAATACTGAAATTATATAGTGAAAATATGGATTTTATCTCAGATTTTGCTCACACACACACGCGCGTGTCCTGATTATGTGATGCTCTAGAACAGTGGTTCCCAAACCTGTCCTGGAGGCCCCCCTGCCCTGCACCTTTTGTATGTCTCCCTTATCTAACACACCTGATTCCACTCATTAGCTCGTTAGTAGAGACTGCAAGAATTAAATTGGGTGTGTCTGATTAGGGAGACACAAAATGTGCAGGGCAGGGGGTCCTCCAGGACAGGTTTGGGAACCACTGCTCTAGAACACAGAGAATATTCATTTGAAACCCGTTAGATAAGTTGTCCACCTTCAGCAATGTCTAAAATTGAAGTGTATTTCTTTAGAGTAAAGAATAAATGCCCATAGTTGTCTCTAAATAGGTGTGCAGTGTGCACTGAATGTCATCGGCTGTGAAAGTTCAGCAGGGCTAACTGTACTGGCTTAGTAAAATAGTACTTTGGGGATTTACATGAAATTGTAGCAATCAAAAGTTTCATTTTTGACGCGACTTAGTGTCAAAATGCAGTTGAGTAAGACTACAGGTATTCGAGTGAAGTTCAGTTAACCAAGCTAATACGCCCCTGCTTGTCCGCGCAGCATTAGACGCAGTTCCTCTTGTGACCGTTAGATGTCGCCACTCCTCTCACATTCACTCACAGCAGAAGCACCTCCGTCCCCCGCTGTCTACACATCATACCATATCATAAACAGCTACCATTACTGCCAGCGAGCTAACATAACAACATACCCTTCAAAAACAGGATCTTACAAACGGCCGAGGTAAGGACGCAGCACTTGAACCAACGACTTGCACTGTACCTCTCTAAAGCGACATGCGTGAACATACGTGGTCACAATGATTTTATTAATCCTCGGCTGGATTTTCCAAACATCTGTTTCATAAGAGACGCGTTAGCCAGCTTTAGCGAAATAACAACCAGCCTTAAAATTGTTCTCCACACGGAATCAGCTCTTCAAGACAGTGTCAGTGTTTGCGTGAAGCTTTTACAGATAATATTCAGGAAATTGCGTTGGATGATGGCAATTGTGAAGCAGGAGTGATCAAAGCATATACATCTAATATACACATGAGATCAGTTTGGTTATTGGGAAGTTGGGTTATTCTACGAAAAGGCGCATTTTCAGTTTTAATAAGGTGATTTAAAGTAAAATTTCTAAACATCCAGTAAGACAATGTGTTAATGAAATGTGAAATTAATTGTAAATGTGTGCTGGGACAGGATTGATGATAAAACGGTCAACAGTTTTTAGTTCAAGTTGATATTACAAGGTCGTGAAACTATAAAGTGCTCATTTGGAGAAGAATTTAATGCTGTATTTCAACAAATACTAACTTTTCAATTTTCAAATGTTTAGCTACTATACATATTCAGCTAAACAGCGTTGATCATTTTAACTAATAACATGAGTAACACATTTTTTTTGGATAATTTTAATAATAAATTATGTATATATATATATATATATATATATATAATATATATATGTATATATTAGACTTTTATGTTTTATTTATATTTATTAAAATTCTTAATATTATATATATATTGTTCTAATATAGCAAGAGGTTGGACAGACATGAGTAGGGGGAAATGACACATATGTATTTGAGAGACAAAAATGGCACCCGTTTTGTAGAATGACCCAGTTACCGAAGAATTCAGCATCCTTAATTCGTTTTCATCCTGTCTGTTTGACAGTAAAAGTGAAACCCGTAAAATCACTGGCTGTGTATCAACATCTAGTGAGCTGCCTGCCTAGACAGTATTTTTGGGCATCAAAGGAACATGCAAAATGTTCTTATTTCCAAAAATGCTGTCTAGGTTTTGACAGCTATTGTGTGACGATTTAATCCATATGGCTACAATGAAAGAACATATATGCATACAAGTGCATTAGATGTCAGTTGTGCTGCATTATTAACAAATTATATTTTGTATCCACTGACTTGTGTTGTCATGTTGCTTGGGTGTTTGGGTGTAAAATAGTTTGCCTTGTTTGGAGAGAGTGGCATAAGACGGTCTCTGGAGGACTTTTCCCTGTGGAATGAGCCATTGGGGTATGATTTGAAATCTAGCTGTGGGTAAACTGGATAAAATTGGTTATTTATTTGTCAGGCTTCAAGTGCAAAAATATGATTGAGGTTGGCGTAATTACTTTTCATTTCTTAGTTTATAGAACATAATCAGATGCAACTAACAGCCAACGCATGGGTATGGGAAATATCCACAGACTTGAATAAAGTGTGGCGGACTTTTTTGTTTTTGAACTGCTTTCAAATTCAATATAACCTAGTATAAGATTTCAAGTAGTCCCACAGTTTGTACAAAAAAATTGTGTTTTCGGTAATGCACTTGCAATAGGAGTCTATGTTACAAGGCATTTTTCACTGGGATAAATTTTATATAAAAAAACAGTTCAAATACATAATAATTGTGCTCAGAAGTTTTAATTAAGGCATGGAAATGTGAGCTGCACATTTCTGCTTTTAGAGCCTGCTGAATATCTTGCCCCTTACTTCCATTGTGAAGGCCCCAATGTACTCATGGCAAAGATCTTTTCATAAAAACATATAAAACAGTGTCATTGGCACTTTCAATTAGAATTACAACTTCAATTTGTAATAAAGCAGCTTTTTACTCGCGTCTGACCTCAACGGACTGAGCAGAAGAAATTAACTGAGCCCCAGAAGAAACTGAAAGAATCTTTCAGTGAACAGTTCTTAAAGGGGTCATATGATGTTGCTAAAAAGAACATTATTTTATGTATTTGATGTAATGAAATGTGTTTATGCGGCTTAAGGTTAAAAAAACACATTATTTTCCACATACTGTACATTATTGTTTCTCCTCTATGCCCCGCCTTTCTGAAACACGTCGATTTTTACAAAGCTCATCGGTCTGAAAAGCGAGGTGTGCTCTGATTGGCCAGCTATCCAGTGTGTTGTGATTAGCCGAATGCCTCAAGCGTGTGACGGAAATGTTACGCCCCTTACCATACTGTGATGCCCTGTCCGGCCGGAGCGACGAGACTAGGGATATGCAGGTATCAAAAAGGAAAAATTGAAATCGCATCATATGACCCCTTTAAAAAACATTTTTCTTAGTGTGAAGAACATATTAATAATCTAAAGAACTTTTTTCCACTAATCTAGATAATTTTTTGTTGAATGGAAAAGATTCATGGATGTTAAAGAGTCTTCACGGAACCATAGATACCAATTACAAAAATGTAATCGCCCATGGAGCAACGGTAGTTTGAAGCAAACTTTTCCAGAGATTTTACTTTAGCAAGCTGTTTTGAACTCCAAACAAACTTCATTTTTGGCCTGATTTTGAAATGGTGTCACACCAGTTCATTCTTCGATTTTGCTTGAAGTATTTCAGGGCATTATTGTAAAACTGAGTAAAGAGTCAGAATCATTGTCTGTGGCGATGGACAGCATACCGCAGATGGTGTTGAGAGAGCATAACTCTTTTTGATGTTTCAAAGAATGCTGAACACTCCAGATGGTCCCATATGGTCAGTCCTCTGTGGACCCCTTTCCCTGTGGATGCCCTGTGCATCTCACCATAATAAAGACAACTAGAGAGTGGAAAGTCATCTGGAGTACACTCTTAAAAATAAAGGTGCTTCAAAAGGTTCTTCAAGCGATGCCATAGAAGAACCATGTTTGGTTCCACAAAGAACCATTCAGTCAAAGGTTCTTTAAAGAACCATCTCTTTCTTACCTTTTTATAATCTGAAGAACCTTATTTCACCACAAAGAACCTTTTGTGAAACAGAAAGGTTCTTCAGATGTTTAAGGTTCTTTATGGAACCATTTAGACAAAAAGGTTCTTCTATGACATCGTGAAGCACCTTTATTTTTAAGAGTGTAAGGCTGCATCTGTTTTGTTTCTAGGGTAAAATTGGTTTCTTGCTGGAGTTTATCTTGGGTAAGGGCTCGAATCGGTGGATCTTTTTATGCATTTGATGTTGTCCTTTGTGGAATTTTTACCACAAAAATGTGGTCTGTGGGGGTCCAGAGATTATTTGCTTGTGAGTCTGAGTCTCCATAACAAATTAGGTTTACGTGTGTTTGGTAGGTTGGGCACGTGAAGGAGAAACACTTGGTTTGCAATCCATCAAAGATCGAAGTAGGTCACAGAAGAATGTGGAAACTGCTCTCAGATTAAAATAGCTCAGCCTACCATTGCAGTCAGGCCACATCTTGTCCGCATCTACCGTGAATTTCCTGTTGTTGAAAAGAGGATGTGATACTCTGGGTTTATTTGTGTTGTCATAGATGCTTGCATGGTACCTGTGATCCTGCCGCATGAGTTTCAGATAGTTGCCTGACGCTCAGACTAGAGGTCTGCTACCCGACCCGAGCCCGATGGGTCCCAAAATACTTTCGGGTTTCGGGTCGGGTTCGGGTTAATGTTTAATGAATAGCTTCGGGTTCGGGTCGGGCTCGGGTTTATAGCTAAACTAAAACTATATGCAGGCTACGCTGCTTTCATAGACGCACGCACACACAGTTATATTTCTCTGCAATGAGGGGGTAAAATCGCTGTTTTTGAAGTAACTACGCCTCGTTGCTTGTAGAGAGAGGTGCGCAGACGCAGGTTCACACACACGCAACTTTCATCTTTCTCTCTCTCTCGCGCGCGCGCTAATTCAAATAAATGATATAATTAATTAATTCAAATAAAGATTTCGGGTTCGGGTCGGGTTCGGGCTCTAAATTGAACCGTGCCGCTCGGGTCGGGTCGGGTCAGGTCAGACGATCTCGGGTACGGGCCGGGTTCGGGCTTCACTTTAAAGCCCGTGCAGACCTCTAGCTCAGACTGGATAAGGACACATCAATCCATCTGAATTTCTGCACACTTTCATCATCCCACCATCAGCACCTGAGCTGACAAATGGGTCAGACATGCCTGGCTGCTCTGTGCTCAACTGGGCTGTCTCTTTGTCATCGAGGTTGAGAGATGTGAGGACAGGAAGTCACTAACGGCGTCCACACCAGGAACAGACCAGTGATTAAAATCGGATCTGCCGTTAAAGGGGACATCAAATGCCCCTTTTCCACAAGTTGGTAGGATTCTTTAGGGTCTTCATGAACTGTCTGCAACATACTTTGGTTAAAATTCCTCAGTGGTTGTGTAAAACAACACCATTTTTACCTCGTCAAAAACAGCTCTGTACACAGCGACCCGTTTCGGTGCATGTCTCTTTAAATACTAATGAGCTCTGCTGTGGAAGAGGAAAGGCGATTTGCAAATAATCATAAGAAATATAAAGTGTGGGACTGGATCACGAACAGTGGGTACTGATCCATCCTTGAGTTTGAACTTTGTAGCAAAACCTACCTTGAATTATCCCTTGTTCAGAAAGCAATCTGGAGTAAAATGATTGGCGCAGACATAAACGCATTCACTGCGTCTTCTTCAGCAGCTCAGATGTGGGGAGTAAATGACGACTGCTATGTTCATTCTTACATCCAACAACAAAACACCTGAATCGCTTAGGAGACATTCTTGTCTACACCTGCTGCGGTGTCAAAACAATGGCGGACTGTTTACAGCTCACTCAGGGCCCGCGCCCTATGCTAAAACGGCAGTGTCCGTCAACAGTCGTGGGAGGGGCCTGTGCAAAGTGACATCACTTTGCCAAGATTCTGTGAACGGCTTGCTCTGAGATAGTGCTTATGATGGGGATTTAAACAAACAGCACTGGGTGGATTTTTATCATTATAGGGTGGTTGTGTACACACTGCTAAGACACATTTAAGTTCAAACACCATGTAAAAGTGAATTTTGCATCCGATGTCCCCTTTAAAAACGTCTCATTTCATCATGAAATTTGCCTCTTCTACTCTGATATCTTGAAATAGCTGATTAATTTTGTTGTGTGCTGCTTTATTAGTTAATGTGTACTAATAATAGTAGACCATTAGTGCTGTGGTAGTACAGTAATGGCATCAGATGTCAATGACATGATACTGAATGATTACCTTCAAAGATTGACCAATAATCACTTCAACCAGTAGGCTATTTCTTACCAGTATTTGCACTTTTAAACACAATCAGCTCTTTAATAACTACCTACACTATCATTCAAAAGTTTGGGGTCGGTAAGATTTTTTTTTATGTTTTGGAAAGAATGCTTACCAAGGCTACATTTATTTGATCAAAAATAACAATAAAAACTGTAATATTGTGAAATATTATTACAATTTAAAATCACTGTTTTGTATTTTATATCAATATTTTTAATCATTTAAAATGTAATTTATTCCTGTGATGGCAAAGTCAAATGTTCAGCAACCATAATTCAGTCCTCAGTATCACATGATTATTCAGAAATCATTCTAATATGCTGATTTGGTGCTCAAGAAACATTTCTTCTTATCTAGTTTCTTTATAAGTGTCATTATAAGTTTAATAATAATCATAACTGTATTGTCTGCCTGACTGATGACCTGTGTTTTAAAAATGTTTATAACACAGTATGTTGCACATATCATCTAGCATGACGTTACAATCACTTGGCTGTCACTTGTTGTCATATTAATGTCATCTAAAATCCATCGTTCATTGTCCTACTGGCTGAATCTCTTAGTAGGTGATGGATGGTGAGAGACAGTTTAATAAACAAAATAAACAGGATTTTTACATTGTATACATATGTGAATGGTGCTTGCTTAACCATACAAAGGTTGTTCTCTGTGGTTTCTAGCATGTTGCTAGGTGGTTGTAGAATTTTCTGGATGATTATAAAGTGGTTTAAATTAAGAGTTTACCAAGTTTCTATTATATTCTGCTGTCTAAATATGGCTTGAGTCTCTCTTTCAATGTAATTTTTTATCCATTTTTGAGAATGGAGGTTATTTCCAGTATAAAAGTGAAATTTTTAGCTAGAAAAGCTTGAATCCTCATCAGTGTGTTCTTATTTAAGGTGAAAATGAGTGTCAGGGACGTAATAAATGGGAAATGGATGCGGGAGGGGTCAAAGATGAGGAACGCTGAGAAAAATAGTGTTTTTTTCCCACAGTGTTCTCAAATGAGGGAGAGAGAACACCATCTTCCAGCTGTGTGGGTGTTTTGACAGGAGAGCGCATGGAGGCAAGGCCCCGAGATGGTATTACAGCAAAAACATAAGTAGAGATTCGATCGCAGATGAAGAAATGACAGGGAACGAACCGAGAAAGAGAAGAAAAACCAAGCCGCTTTGGATCTCGGTGAATGCGAGCGATAGAAATGAGGACGCTTGGAGGGGGTGGGCCAGCCCACACAAGTTCTCCTTTCTGAACCCCTCAGAGTAATGAATGTCTTTTTTTATTGTACCTGCTTATATTTCTCTCATTCTGCGAGACCCACACCTCTCCCACACACACACAGAGAGTCTCCAATGTTCAGAAAATCTGCTTGCCAAAGAAACTACATAAAAAACAGAGGCTCAGAGCAGAATGGAGATATGTAATCTTGCGAGCAGGCTTTACTTGAATAACGTTTGAAACATCTTATATTTATAAGCTTATTAGCTGTATTCAGTCATTTAATCCATAAAGGTAAACTATTTTCAGTGTAATATAATTTGAATAACAATGACCTGAAAAATGTTTTTGAGTCAAGAGTTTGTTCCCAATTAGGCTTTTTCCTAGAATTAGCGTCAGGGAAAACCCAAGAATATCAAGGAATTTTGAAATGGTGATTTTGATTTGGTTTAATTTTGTGTGTTGAATTGAGGTGTGTGTATGTATGTATGTATGTATATATATCTCCAGACTGCTTTGTGCATGTCATGTCGTTCTAGTGCTTAGCGTTTTAACCGTGTTTATGTGCGTACGTTACTGAAGTATTTTAAAGGTGCAATAGGTGATTGTCTACAGAAACATATTTTGTTATTCTGGTTGAAAGTCTCTTCACATCCTGATAACAATCATTAAGTTAAGTGGTCTAAATGTGTATATATATAGATATATAGATGTGTGTGTGTATGTATATATGTATGTATATATATATATATATATATATATATAAATATACATATACATATACATTGCTCTTTGTGATCTCTATATAGGAGGCAATATCTGCAAAAAAAATGTTTTAGAATTCATAAATACTTGAATATATCACAACAATAAATATCAGGAATTTTTCAAATGGTGCAGCCTTGTGAAAGTCATGGGAATAAAAAATAGAAATTTAGTTATGCTCAACTCAAATATGTTACAAATATAAAAAAATACATTTGTATATTTATATAATAGTTCATATCTAAAATATTAACATCAGTTTATTATTGGACACTAAACAACTGAATACTAATTATTACATAAATATCAAATATTTATATAATAGGTACAATAATTATATGATAAAAAAATAACATATAAAATATACATTATAAAATATTGGGGATTGGGTAAAATTGATTGATTGATTGGGATTGGATATATAAAATATTGGGTGGGGAATATCAGGAAAGAACATGGAAAAATAAAAACTGAAGAAAAAAAAATGAAAGGGCCTTTTAACTTGATTTGTGCTTATTTTCTGCCTGAATGTAAAGTAATCATAACACCCAGGGTGCGAACTACGGGGGAGCTAGGGGGAGCTCGGCTCCCCTTAATAAGACATGGGCAACCCCCCCGTTATAAAAAAAAAAAACAAGTGGGCTCCCCCAAAGTCCACAGTATAGTTCGAACACTGATAACACCCATTCCTAAATGATATTCAAAGTCAAGGAAATTCATTGGTCAAAAGCTGTGGGTACCATGTGCGCTGACATTCTGAATGACATCTAACATTTCCAAACTCTGTTTTTCCGGCAAGGCATTGATGGAGGGGCTACTGAGAGGTGTTTGGGAAGCACACTATGTTTCCCTGTGTCTCCACCTGGCCCTCTTCTGATCCCCCTGCCGCTCTGGGCCATGCTCCGCCCATTCACCCGGTACAGCCACCCAATCAGCCACTGCCTGACCTGCTGCGGAGCTGTGTTGTGCTCCCTTCCCCATCCACACGCCTGAGCCCTTGTACCAACGAGATGGAGTCTATGATTGTGGTGACGGAGTATGAGCCCAGTGATGGCTCAGGGCAGGAGGGCGGAGAGGAGGAGGAGGTGGAGGACATGGACAGCTCGGAAACGCCGGAGCCGGCGTTGTCAGGTCCGGTACCGCCCTTCCGTATGGCCTCCTGTGATCTTTTATCCCACTCGGTGGGCCGCCCGGAAGCGCTCTTCCCAGAACCGCAGGAGCACAGAGGTAGACTCAGCCTCTCCAACAGGAAGCTGTCGCTACAGGAACGCTCGCAGACGCTTTCGTCGCCCTGCGGTTCTCCGGGGCTGAACGGACGCTATATTTACCCATCGCTGCCCTACTCGCCAATCACCTCCCCTCACTCATCTCCACGCCTCCCTCGAAGACCAACCGTGGAGTCTCATCGTGTCTCCATCACAGACCTGCAGGTAGGTGGCCGGAGTTAATGTCAAGTGTGTTTAGAACTGTAGGGAAGTCCCTTACAAATATATCAACCAATTAAATCTTTAAATAAAGTAAAATATAAATTTTTTTGGAATGATGCTCAATTAAATTTTTTATATAATATTTATGATCTAAATGATTAATATCAATTAATTCATAATTACATACTAAATATAAATATTACATATTATATAATATAATATATAAAATAAACATTATAAAGCAATGGGGCTAGAAATTGCTCCTTGTGATCACAATATTTTTTTTAAATGGCTTGTAGGCTGGAGACAATTTTTTATAATTATGCTGAACTAAAATGTTACAAATATTTAAAAAATATTTTTTATTACTCATAATATTTAATATCTAAATTATTAATAGCAATGAATTATTATTTACATATTAAATATAGATAATAAATATATTGTATAATATATAAAACTCACATTATAAAATATTTGTGATCTCTATATTTTAAATGATGTAGGCTTGTAAAAGTGGCCTGAAGCCTTGTAAATGTCATGGAAATAAAATATAGAAAGGTTTGTAATTATGCTCAACTCAAAAATGTTGCAAATATATTTTAAAAATATATTTTTTATGATGTATTTAATATTTAAATTGTTAATGTCAATTAATTAATCTCTATATTTTAAATGATGTAGGCATGTAAAAGTGGCTTGTAGGTGAATGTCACAGAAAAAAAACTAATTTTTCTAATTGCGCTCAACTCTAATGTTGCAGTTTTTTAAAAATATGTTTTATATTATTATAAAATAATATATGGTTCCCATCGTGCCTAACAATTATGTAAGATTATATAACTGCACCACCAAAAACGAAACAATCTGATGCTGTAGTCTGAGATAATTTGAGCTGCTTGTGTGAGAACTGATGTTGTCTTTGAGAAGAACATTTCCTTTTCTTCATTCTCTGCAATGGCTTCAAGTCTGCAAGCTTGAGAGGGTATGTAAGGTAAGGTTACAGACAGGAGCAATTACCTTTCTCTTAATGGCGCTTGTCAAGAGAAAGTTCCCCTGTAGATGCTTCTACTTTTCCATTAGGACATGAAATCAGCGAGAAATGTGCGTAGCTCTTTAGCTTGTGTACCTTTCTCAGCTCAAGTCAGTGTTATTTTAGTATTATTGATATGCTGTTATAGTTTTTGTTAATGTTTTGAATTCAATCAATTTTTTTTATATTTTCTGTTTTCAAAGTTTTAGTAATTTTGTAGTGTATTTTTGTTAGTTTTTGTTTTTGTCTATATAGTTTTTATTCATTTGTATTTATTTGTTTGAGTTATTTTAGTTCTTCAAATTAAGCTAAACGAAAATGAGAAATGATGCCTTTCAACTAGCTGAAATAAAGTACGTTTTTTAATATTTTATTTCAATTAACATTTATTTTAGTTTTAGTTAACTATAATAACCCTGGCTCAAATACTCCCTTGTAATACTTCTGCTAATGCTTTTGATTCTTTGAACCTGGAATGTTGCAAGCATCGTTCTTGATGAGAGAATCAAGTTTGCATTTGCTGTGATCTTTGGCCACACAGGCTGAAGTAGTTGTCTTCCTTCAGTGAATACAGTTCCTTAAAGAAGACCTCAGTGTCATTGATTGACATCATTTGTTTCTTTATTTCAAAAGGACTGCGTGCAGCTCAACCAGTACAAGCTGAAAGATGAGATCGGAAAGGTATGTTTATTTTTCATTTATTATTTATGTATAGATCATTTCCTGCTGAGGCTGGGATGAATTAACACTTTGCTGAAAGATTAATTTGAGCTGTTTTCCTTATTTCAGAACAAACATACTATATTTCATATAGTAAAAAATGTGTGAAGTAACAAAATACGTGAGGCATACAGATGTACAGTTGGTCATCATAACAAAATTAACCACATGAAATTATCCCACATTTGTCTTTTTCTGGATCTTGGCTAATAAATAAATAAATGCACATGAAATATTTGGGGTCGGTAAAATTTGTAAACGTTTTTGGAAGAAGTTTCTTATGCTCACCAAGGCTGCATTTATTTACCAAAAAAACAGTAAAAATAGTTAAATTGTGAAATATTATTGTAATTTAAAATAATGGGTTTCTATTTTCATATATTTTGAAATATAATTTATTTCTGTGATGGCAAAGCTGATCTTCAGTGTCCAGAAATCAATCTAATATGCTCATTTGGTGCTCAGGAAACTTATCCTTCTTATTATTATCAATGTTTAATGTGCTATATTTATATGAAATAAATCTTTTGTAACATCATAACTGTCTTTACTGTCACTTTTGATCAATTCAAGCATCTTTGCTGAACAAAGATATTCAAATTTTTTTTTTTACTGAACTCAAACTTTTAAACTTACATGTATATGACTGTATATGAAAATAATAAATAGAGCGATACAAGACATAACTATTTACAAATGTAAAAAAAAAATGTTTTTTTTTTTACAGGGTACCATGGTAATACCATAGAGTTTGAAATAACTTGGAATACTAATTAATTTCATATTATATGAATATTGTAATTATGTGACACCATGGGATAAATCAAATTTGCATGAATAGAATAGAATGGATTAAACCCATACAAAAAGTACAATGTTTTACCATGTTTTTTTGGACATGGCATCAAGCCATGTTACACAGTACTTCGAGGAGTTCTTTGTAAACCATGTGTACCATAGTATTACCACAGTACACTTTTTCTAAGAAGAGTACAATATGATAAGCGCATATAATGAATTTTCTAAAGCAATATATAGGGTAATGCAGTGAAGCAAGTGAAAGGAGCAGTGAAGTGTTTTCACTGTTGAGCTTCATCTCCATTCGAGGGCATGGAAAACTGTCAGCTTGGATGGGGAGATTCCTGTTCTGCTCTCATCTCTGTGTTTGAGAGTTGGATTTCCTGCTGGAACGGCAGTCTGCTCTCCCAGTTGGGACCTGTGTGTGTGTGTAGGTTTGAGGGAGATAGAGACAGAACAGAAGTGGAATTATGCCTGTCTATGGCATTCATCATGACGCCGGCTGTTGCCTACTGGCTTAGTTTGGTTTACATGTTCTCCAGTTAATCAAACGGCACAAATGCTTGGCCACTTTAGCCTCCTGTTTCCTACCGTTTTTGCATGTTACTGAGTGTGTTTGTGTTGCAGTTTGATCCAGTTACAAGTTGTCATGATTGACACGCCTTGTTTTCCTGATAAAGGGCTCCTATGGAGTTGTCAAGCTGGCGTACAATGAAGACGACAACACATACTATGTGAGTGACGCAACACAGTCTCATGATCTTGCACAAATATATACACACTTCATGTGTGAAGAGTAAAGAGCTAACATCCTAGTGTTATCAGTAATCATTAAATTATGATTGCCTAGTTGAGGTCGTCTTAAGCAGTCAGTCTTAAAATAGTCACATAGACACTGTCCATTGAGAAGTTCCTCATAACGGGTTTGAACATCATAATTATTATGTGATTTTAATTGAAGTAAAATGCATTTTAGCACTAGTGCATCAAAATAAAGAGCAAAGCATGCCACAGAGAATGATGGGAAATTTAGTATCCTTGCACAAGCCCAAGCCCATGGCCTCATAATAAAATTATCAGTAATCATATATTACTTTATCTCTGTTCTCACTGTTGACTAAATAACTGTTTCTTACTGTATTGTAAGTATATATGTATATGTGTGTGTAAATATTTTTTATTTGTAAATATCCATATATTGATTATTATTATTAGTAGTAGTAGTAGTAGTAGTAATATTAGTAGTATTATTAGCATTATTAACATGTATAATAATAATAGTAACAATATATTGCTGTAATATTTGGATATTAACTTAATTTTTTAATTTCTTTCCTTTAATTATTTATTGCTTATTTTTATCTTAATTTTTTGTGCAGTTGTATACCTCACACAGTGCTGGTTGTAGAAGTATGGCAACAAAATGAAAAAGGAAAAAGATAGATAGATAGATGATAGCCAGTCTTAAAATGGTCTTAAAATATTATTATTTTTTTTAATATATTGATTACCGAAATTATTTTTATTTTTTCATTTTTTTTTTGCCATGCTGTATTGTTGGGATTTGATAAATAATTTAATTGAAAATTTTTTGAAATAGAATATCCCTGATAATAGTGATTATGAACATGCTGTAATAATAATAATATGTTGCTGTAATATTACATTAAATTTTAACTTAAAATTGCTCAATCCTCTGATTAATTGTTAGTTTTTTTATATATATATATTTTTTGGGGGGCAGTTGTAGTCCTCTCTCTGTACTGTTTGTAGAATGGGGCATATGTCGCCCAGCACCAGTAATGGCACTGGCTTTCTGCTCTCACTCGCTCATTCTCACTGCTCTCCACAGGCCATGAAAGTGCTGTCCAAGAAACGACTGATGAGGCAGGCTGGGTTCCCGCGTAAGTGTCTGCTTTAAAGCAGATGGAACGCTCAGCGGGGTTTATGATTGAGTGTATGTGTGTGTATGTGTGTATGAGGTTGGGGGCGCAGTTTCATCAGCTAGCAGAATGCCCAATACTTCAACCTTTCACATGATTTCCTCTTGTGCTGGTTTAAACAGGCAGACCTCCTCCTCGTGGGGCAAAATTGGCCCCTGAGGGTCCTCCTCAGCCCAAAGGGCCTCTGGAGCGTGTTTACCAGGAGATAGCCATCCTCAAGAAGCTTGATCATCCTAATGTGGTTAAGCTTGTGGAGGTGGGTGCTTGTATTGTCAATATGCAGCCAAAGTGGCACTGTTGCACCTGTGTCTCCAGACTTTAGTGTGTAATTTATGCACCACTAGTGCAACCAAGTGGAATTTAAAAAATAATGACTATTAGCAAACAGGTTTCCTATCGTCGTCCTATTAAACTGAGATGGGGAAAATTACACACCTCATATTAAATTTGACATGAATAAAAATAAGGCTGTGAGAGATATAGAGATTCTTAAATGTTGTACACACTGTTGTACACACACAAAAAATGTGTCTCCAGACCTAAATGTTTAATTTTTGCACCACCAAGTTGAGTTAAAAATAATGACTATTTTCAAACAGGTTACCCAAACATTCCCACCACTGGAACAGCAAGTCCACTAAATTTATTAAACTGGGATGGGGAAAGTATTTTAAACTTGGGAAAAAAATGACATGCATCTAATTAAATTTGACATGAATAAAAATAAGGTAGTGAGGAATAGAAATACAGTTTAAGCATAAATCAAAAAAATATTTAGTGTGGTTAATGCTTAAAAAAAGTATACCAGGAAAAAAAAGCTATTGTAAATATTTTTACTGGAAAATAAGACAGAAATTCTGATTAAGAAAATAATTCTTTGCAGTGTATATGATATGATATGTACTGGCTAGTTATTATTTAGCCAATAAAAACACTAAAAGAAAGCTTTTCCACAAATTTCCAGTGGACCAAAAAGTCAACAAAACTGGGTTGTGATAATTAAATGTTGATGCACGTTGACATTGATGCAGTCTGTCATATTGATTGGACTGAATTTCTATCCCTCAAACCCTTGTTTTCATTTACATCAAATCAGATATGGCATAAAATAAGGTCTATGCTGACTGGTTTCATTCCCTTTCTAAACCGCTTTGGTTTTTTTGTGCAGGTGCTGGATGATCCAAGTGAGGACCATCTGTACATGGGTAAGTCTGGCCAGATACTCATCGTCTTGGCAGATGCTACATACTTGCACATGCACAGTTTACTCTACTTTTCTGTGCTAAATGTATGTGAAATCAGAGAAGGTAATGCACAGCATCCTAACACCGTTTCCTGTGTGCTTTCACAGTATTTGAGCTTGTCAAACGAGGGTGAGTAAGCATGTTATTTCTGATTATAGCGGCAGCCCATGCTGTGCTAGTGTCACTCTGCTAGAGAAACTGTGTCTCGTTCCCCATGTGTTTGCAGAGCAGTGATGGAGGTTCCTACTGATAAGCCCCTGGACGAGGACCAGGCACGCTTCTACTTCCAGGACTTGCTGAGAGGAATTGAGTATTGTGAGTGCAGGAATTTAGCTAATGCTTAGCAGTGTGATCAATACTCATGATTGTTGCTAATACATCCAGATAAAGGGGCAAGTTACATTTTCATGGACTCATGCCATAGGCTGGGCTCTTTGTAGTCTCATTGAGCCAAACGTTTAGACTAAAGTCTTGTCAGCATATCGTAAACTTGCCAAGAACCACCTACTTAGCAGTGTTATTTTAGTATTATTTATATACCATTCTAGTATTAATTAATATTTTGAATTAGCTTCTATTTTTATATTTTCAATTTTCAATGTAATTTTAGTTTTCATGCTTAGCCCATTGCTTATTCTGTCCAAGAACTGCCCAAATTAGCAGTGTTATTTTAGTATTATTTATACAATATTATAGTATTTATTAATCATTCGAATTAGCTTTAAATATATTTTCGGTTTACATTTCATTAGTTTTATTTCATTAGTCATTTTGTCATTTTTATTAGTTTTTGCTTATTTTATTTTTTATTTTTTCTATATAGCTTCAATTTGTTTTATTTCATTTTTAGTTTTGTTAGTAATTTCATTTTTATTAGTTTTTGCTTATTTGTTTTTGTATATTTTTATATAGCTTCAATTTGTTTTATTTCAGTTTTAGTTTTGTTAGTAATTTCATTTTGATTAGTTTTTGCTTTTTTTTATATTTCTATATAGCTTCAATTTGTTTTATTTCAGTTTTAGTTTTGTTAGTAATTTCATTTTTATTAGTTTTTGCTTCTTTTTTATATTTCTATATAGCTTCAATCTGTTTTATTTCAGTTTTAGTTTTGTTAGTAATTTCATTTTTATTAGTTTTTGCTTATTTTTTTATATTTCTCTATAGCTTCAATTTGTTTTATTTCAGTTTTAGTTTTGTTAGTAATTTCATTTTTATTAGTTTTTGCTTTTATATATATATATATATATATATATTTCTATATAGCTTAAATTTGTTTTATTTCAGTTTTAGTTTTGTTAGTAATTTTGGTACTTAAACTTCTATTATTTCAGTTAGTTGCCAATACAACATTTTAAATTTTCGTTTTCATTGAAGTTTTTCATCTAATATTTATAATTTTATTTCAGCTTTATTTCTATCAATTAACAAAAACATTTTTAATAGTTTTGTTAATAGATAGATAATAGTAATAGATCAAGAAAGTTCTTGACGTTTTTATCTGCAATATACATCAAATTGTGAAACTAGATGCAGTCATCAAAATGCATTAAATAACGATTAAAAGTGATGGAAACTTTTCATCCTCAACAGTACATTATCAGAAAATCATTCATCGGGACGTCAAGCCTTCCAACCTGCTTGTGGGAGAAGATGGCCATGTTAAAATTGCCGACTTTGGGGTCAGTAACCAGTTTGAGGGAGCAGACGCCCTCCTGACCAGCACAGTTGGGACACCAGCATTTCTCGCCCCAGAGACCCTCTCAGAGACCCGCAAGAACTTCTCTGGAAAGGTTAAAAGCTCTATTCTCTAAGCTAGTTGCTAATATCCTGTCAGTCTTGCTGTCAATTTTTTATTTAGTCAAGTTAACATCATGTTTTTAATAGGCTCTGGATGTGTGGGCGGTGGGAGTCACCTTGTACTGTTTTATCTTTGGAGTGGTATGCCCTGTTTTGACCTTTGTATATATCATGAAATATGTCTTGTAAACAGTAACAATTCAGCAAAACAAATTCTTTTTGACGTGGTCTTTGACTTTACTTCCTTTCTTTACAGTGTCCGTTTATGGATGAGCGTATTTTGAGCCTCCATCAGAAGATCAAGACCCAACCAGTGGAGCTTCCTGAGAAGTGAGTATTTCTCTTGAGCCTGAAAGACCTTCCCCATCCCGAAGTTCTGACATTGATAGCATTTTTGTCCCACTTAACAGCGCGGACATATCAGATGACTTAAAGGACCTTCTTTTTAAAATGTTGGACAAGAATCCTGAAACCAGAATTACCATCCCACAAATCAAGGTGAGTGTGACTTTTATTTCACCAGTGACGCCACCTTCGAGTTTAACAAAGGTGATATGTGTCATTTCCGAGCTATTAACGTCACCAGTATGTTTCCTGAATACTAGCCCTCATCTGTGATTGGTCAGAAAAATAAACGGTTTTGGCCTAGAATTACGCTATTGGTTGATGTTTTTTTACTTGTAAATTTTTTTAAACCATACATGCTACCGTTCCAAATGTTGGGATCAGTAAGATTTGGCTGATTGTTTTGAAAAAAGTCTTATGCTCACCAAGGCTGCATTAATTAAAAAATACTTACACAAAAAACAGTATTATTAATATAAACAGTAATAATATAAACACTTATATAAACAGTAATTTAACTTTTTTGTTTTTATTTTAAAATGTATTTTATTCCTATGATGGCAAAGCTGAATTTTCAGCAGCTGTTACTCCAGTCTTCCGTGTCACATGATCCTTCAGAAATGATTTAATTTGCTGATTTGGTGTTCAAGAAACATTTCTTATTATGAATTATGAAAAAACTTTGAAAACAAATATTTTAACCATGATACTTTTTTTTCCCAGGATTCGTTGATTAATGGGACATTCAAAAGAACTGCATTTATTTGAAATAGAAATAGAAAACATTATAAATATCTTTACTTTTACTTTTGATCAACTTAATGCATCCTTGCTAAATAGAAGTATTCTTTCAAGAAAAAATCTTACTGACCCCAAATGATTTGTACTTGGTAGTATATTTTTTCTTATGTTATAATCAGCCTCCATACTTCAAATGGACCAAAAATGAAACCCTTCTTTGTTCTTAAAAGATGATTTCAAAGCACTTCCTGTGTGAATATAGGACACTCCAGCTGCCTAGACACAGTCTTGAGTTAATGAATGATATCAAAGCAGGATTTCTGTTCTGCTGTTGTTGTTGTAGGTGCACCCATGGGTGACGCGGCACGGCGCTGAGCCCCTCCCCCCTGAGGATGACAACTGCTGCAGCCTGATAGAAGTGACAGAGGAGGAGGTGGAAAACTCTGTCAAGCACATCCCCAGCCTGGCCACTGTGGTGAGATCGCAAGCCCCTAGTGGCCTGTTTGTTTTTATGAATACACAAAATGTATTCAATTTTAATAACCTCATCAAATGTATAAACAGATTAATGACCCACACAGATTACAGCCCAAAGCCTGTTTTTGGAGTTACTTATACTTGCTGCATGCTCTCTGCTATAGATCTTGGTTAGGACTATGCTGCGCAAGCGTTCTTTTGGGAACCCGTTTGATTGGGGCCGCAGGGAAGACAGGAGTCCTGCCGCACCAGGACACACGCTATCGTAAGTCTTCCTCATTAAGGATGGGCTATAACTGGAACAGACTTCCTGAACCTAGACTTGGAACTCTGCAGTGGATTCGGTGGTCATAGAAATTTGAAAATGGTTTGCCTAGCTTGTTTGACAGTTTAATTGGAACTACTAGTATAGATGTACTATTCTATTTAACTACACTAGGTCATACTGTAATACTATAAGGATAAATCTTCAGTGTATTTTGAGGTAAAATAGAGCTTAATATCTGTGCAACGTTTCCACAGAAAATAATTTTGACTAGTTTCTCAATTGCTTAAAAATGAATGAAAAATGTGTTTACAGTAATGCACTTAAAATAGAAGCCTGGCAGGCAGGCTGTCCATTTATTAATATTTTTATTCAGCAAGGATGCATTAAATTTATCAAAAGTGACAGTCAAGACATTTATAATGTTACATAAGATTTTCATTTAAAAAACAAACAAAAAAAAAGCTGTTCTTTTAAACTGTTTGTCAAAGAATCCTTAAAAAAAATGTATAAATAAAAAGAATTCATAGTTTCCTCAAAAATATTTGACAGCACAACTGATATTTGACACTGAAGACTGGAGTAATGGCTGCTGAAAATTCTGCTTTTTCATTACAAATAAATTACATTTTAAAATATATTACACTAGAAAACTTGTTTTTATTATTAAATTGTAATAATATCTCACAAATATCACTGTTTTTACTGTATGTTTGATTAAATTAATCCAGCCTTGGTGAGCATAAAAGACTCTTTTCGACTCCAACCTATTGAATGGTAGTGTACATTTTTAATGCACTAAATCTTCATTAAAATGTATGTCATTTAACCTCTAAAGTTAAAATTATTTTTTGAGATGAGACTACATTTCTAGATGAACTGTTATGTGTTATTAACCATCAGTTAATAAATGAATGTTTTTGAACTTACACAACACACTATCGCATTATGAAGCCAAAACTACAATGGTCACATTAAACATGTTTATTGTGTTTTCAGTAAGCTCACAGTTACCAAACTAACCGTGTACCCTACTAAGGTAAAATACTTTAGACAATTTAAATATGAAACTTTCTTAAAAAGTACAATTCTGTATAGTATGAATGTGTGTAGTATCAATGTAATCCTGACGTACTACAATCGTCATTGCCATGTGACCTAAAGCATTAGTTATGTTGCTTCACTGCCATTCACAAATCCTCTCTAGTGGCCTCATGGGATAGATAGTAAAGTGACCATCAGATGCACACCTCAGAATCTCACCGGAAGTAGTAGGTCTTCCGGGTACTTTTTGCATAATGTCTAATGCTGGGGTCTCCAAACTCGGTCCTGGAGGGCCTGTGTCCTGCAGAGTTTAGCTTTGGAGATCCCTGGTCTAATGAATACTGTGAATTCAGACACCTATTATATTATTCACATGCCTATTATATATACAAAGCTGTAGAGTCGTTTTTATTATTTTATGACTCATGAGCGCCCCCTTGCAGCTATGCTCCCTGTTGAAGCTATCATTGCAATGCTTTGCTATGAGCAAAGTAGTAGTATCTTACAATAATAGCTTTGCTAAGCTCGTTAAAGGGATAATCCACCCAAAAATGAAAATTCTGTCATCTTTTACTTACCTTCATGTCATTTCAAACCTGTATGACTGACTTACTTCTGTAGAACATAAAAGAAGATATTTTGAAAAATGTGGGTAACCAAGTAGTTGATGGTAGCCATTGACTTCCATACTATTTTTTTTTTCATACTATGGAAGTCAATGTCTACCGTCAACTGTTTGGTTACCAACATTCTTCAAAATACCTTCTTTTATGCTCAACAGAAGAAAGAAATTCATACAAGTTTGGAATGACATGAGGGTGAGTAGAATTTTCATTTTTGAGTGAACTATCCCTTTAACCTATAGTTGTTGTTGTTGTTGATATTTAATAAACAAGGGACAAGCATTGATTCTTTTCTGTGGTAATCGTTAGCATATTTGAGTTATATTTAATGAAATATTCCTTTAAGGCTTTTTTAGTCATGTTTGCAGGAATATTTAATAGAAACGCTCCGATTTAAGAATTCTCACGTATCCGCATCTCTCCTGCCATCTAGAAAAGGGAGAGCAGGGAGTTTGAAATACTGCCGCAATCTCGGTACCCCCAGGTAAAGCTCCGCTAGCCTGTTAGCGCTCCACATATGTCCTGTTCACTCTCCTCCACCTATATTATATGTAGGAGATAATGGTCATGCCCATTTTGAATGATCTGCACTTAAAAGGAATGGTGTGGTGTTCAGATGGCTTAAAGAATAACAAGCTTTTCCGCTTGTATTTTCCTACCTGATAAACAGCATTTTATGCATGTAATATTTAAAATATTCATGATATTCCTTCTTAAAAACCTTTAATAATCAACCCGGTTTATTTGTCTGTTTCCTAGGAAACAAGAGAGCGAGGAAGGCATGCGGAGCATGGACCTGCCCTTCGTGGGCGAGGATGAAGTTCTTTCCTGATAGTTGTGGGTGTCTTGCTCAGGGGAAATGCGCAAGGATGGGGCTGCCGTGGCTTCCGGAAGGCCATGATATGGACCTGGGGCTGGGGCATGGACGGAAAGATGGAAGAAAGGAAGAAGCTCTTGTTGGGTTGTTTATGTGGAGGGTGCCCACCCACTCATGCATGCATTTGTACAGTCCACAGCAGCATGCACTGTATCTGTCCGCCCAGGTCTCTGCCATCTCTCAGGACCTGTTTTCTGTGCGCGCGTGTTTTTACTCTCCTCTCCGGCATGGAGACTGCTTTACTCCCATACTTCCGCTAGGGGGCGCCACCGCAAAGCAAAACAGAATTTTTTGGAAAAAAATGTACAATTTATTAGGTTTGTCCATCACTCATTAATTAGAGAGACATGCTACTTTATTGCAGTTTTACAGATCTTATAGATTATTAGAACTGAATTTGAAAGTAATAAAATAAAGACTTTCATCAGAAATTAATTTCTCGAAAGAAATCTTGAAAATCAGGTTTGTTTGGTCAAATAAAGTAAATAATGTATATAAATAAATATCAAGGCAAATAAAATAATAAATAGCCTTTGCACATTTGCGGACAACAACCTTTAACTAGTTTTTAATTCTTAATTGGTGATTTCTTAGGTTTGTCCATCACTTATTAATTAAAGGGTTAGTTCACCCAAAAATGAAAATAAGCCCATAAATTACTCACCCTCAAGTCATCCTAGGTGTATACGACTTTCTTCTTTCAGACGAATCCAGTCGGAGTTATATTAAAAATGGTCTTTGATCTTTCAAGCTGTTTCATGGCACTCAGCGGGTGTTGCATGCATCAGTCCAAAAGCAGTTAAATAAAATGCACCCATCCATAAAAAAAAGTGTCTCACACGGCTCCGGGGGGTGAACAAAGGCCTTCTGTAGCGAATCAATGCGTTTTTGTAAGAAAAATATCCATATTCAAAACGTAATAATCACTTTAATGTAGCTTGCGCTCACTGTTGTACACTGGAAGCAGTTCCGGGGGAATGATGTATGGAGATCAGCGCTGCGCATGTGCCGGTGAGTCTCGTGAAAACCAACATTTGTTTACAGTAAGAGTAATTTATGGGATAATTTTCATTTTTGGGTGAACTAACCCTTTAAGAGATTGTATTGAGATTGTATCACTGCCTGATTGTAAATTATATCATATGATTTGAAAATGATGAAATAAAAGATGGCTCAGACTTTCATCAGAGATTAATTTCAGCTTGAAATTAAATCAGGTTTGTTTGATCAAATTAAGATAGTAAATAATAAATGAATTAATAATAAAATACATGCAAGTATACAAATATTAACACGTTTAATAATAAATAGCTTTAAATAATGAAAATCTTCAAATTTGCTGACAATAACCTCTAAGAAGTTTTTAGAAGAAATTTTTGATTTCTTAGATTTTTCCATCACTCATTAATTAGAGAGACATGCTGCTTTATTGCAGTTTTACAGATCTTGTTAGATTTTTTGAGTTGGATTTTAAAAAATGAAATGGAAGAAAAAACTTTCATCAGAAATTAATTTCAACTTCAACTGAAATTCTTCTCAAAATCAAGTTTGTTTAATCATTAAGTAAAAAAAAAAAAAACGATCAAAAATAAAAAGACAAATAATTTTTTAATAATTCAACTTCTTAAAATTCGCAGTCAGGAAATGTGTATAATGCTATTTAGGGAAAATGCAGATATGTTTGTATGTGTGTGTTTGTTTATATATCAAATCACAGCTTTGTGTTTATATTATAATATTATAATGTCAGCGCTGTAGATGGTGAACAGGACCAAACCTGGAAACTATCTCTTTTTTTTTCCCTTTTTTTTTTAGCAACAAAGAGAGAGATTTATGGTCATAGCATGTTTTTGAATAGCAGGTTAATTATTTAGGGCACAAATAACCTTTAGGGAATGCCACAATAGGCATTGTGACCATTCTTCTTGTATGTAACTTGACCCTTTTAATCATGAAGGTAACAGTTTCTTACTGTAATTTCACTTCGTTTTCCTGTTTAGAATTACCAAAATGCCATGTAGTAGTGCATTTCCGACTTCGTCATGATCAGAGTGAGTTCGTTATCAGCATTTCTATATAAGACGCATACTCTATGAAGTTCTTGAGGAAATACAATAACTTTGTGCAATCTATGCATGACTTTTCACTTAAGGAATCAATGTTTGTCAGTCTGTTTTGACACAAATATATGCCTTACATTTTCATACTCATAACTGTAGCATAGATCATCAGTACATGTGTAGAGTTTTTTGGTACGATAGAATTGTAGATAAAGTAGAATTGGAAATTTTAGATAAGCTGTTTTAGTAGACAGTGTAGAACTATAGTAACTTGCTTAAGCTCAATTTTAAAGTTAGCAAAAATAGTCCAAAGCCCTGTTGAGATTTTCTCAATGTGCACTATGGTCATGTATCTCCTGTGTTGATTATTTTTCTATGATTGTTTGTTTGTTTGCTCTATTTAGCTGTAGTTTCAAAATGTCGGAGTGATGGTGCTTTTCCACCACTGAAATTAATAACATAGTTCATGCTTCCATGTATCAGGGGATTCTTTTCTGCACAAGTAGGTTGAATGTATGTTGTTGGTTTACCTTGTAACACTATACAAGTCAACTATATACTGTTTTGTTTTTTTTTCCACTTTTTTAATTTCCTGCATGTTAAACTTTGCTGTATTTTATAGTAATTGTTTTCTGTGACTTTCTCTCTCTAAGACTTTTATTTAAATCTTTTGTGTAGGTACTATTACTATGCATAAGAAATCTCACATTGTGGTGCAGTTCTGGACTGTCGGTTGGTCTCTTGTGTCTGTTCTATTGGATGTTGATTGTTGAAGGAAACTTGTAATATTGACTTAAATATGCATGTGCACCGACCGAAGCTGGTTATACAATATCACTACTGTATATGTACAGTAAGTGGACATTTTAACAGATTTTAAAGACCTTTAAATAACATATTCAGGACCAGAGAAGCACCGTTCCCCTTTTCTGAATAAGTATTTGTAGG